TTAGCTCATTGGATTCGTCTAGTCGCGGGGAATCGAATGGTAGTTGTATCATACGAATCGGTGCGATATTGACCGAGATCGTACGTCTTTTGTTTTTTTTTAATTTTTTCTATATATAAAAATCATGTGATATGACATCATTTCGACCATTTCGACTTTTCACCTCCAATAGTCGAAATGATTTTGACCATTTTGACCATTTCGGATATCCGAAATGATCTATTTCGACTTCATGTATAATTACAACTATTTGGGTCATAGACTAGCAAAATGCTCCTTTAAAAAATATTTTACTTTTTGAGAAAATTAGAACTTAAAATTTGATCGTCATAAATTACAAAATTGTTTACAATTTATTTTTAGAATAAAATGTAATATAAAAATCATGTGATACGAATTTTTTTTAATTTTTTTTTTAATTTTGTATGATCATGTCTAATTTTAATAATTTTGACGATAAAGAAAATGACTCAACCTTTTCTTTGAACAATGTTGTTTTGGAATAATATGAAAAGGACGAATTTATGCAAATAGTTATTAATGACTTAACCCAATTTTTTGTTCTTGCTAACTGTATTTGCCATAATAAAAGAGAAAAATGTTTTAAAGAAGTAGGATTTGAAGCTTTTCTTGAAAGACATTTAGAATTTCAAAGTTTAGAAAAAAAACAACTGGAATTTGTTTTAATGGGTTAACTATTAGCTTTCCTTAATAATGATAATAATAACCAAAAAAAATATTTTTTTAATTACCATTTTAATTTTAAAATTTCCTTATGTAAAAACACTTACCTTAAACTTGTTGACATTAAAGATGAAACTTTAAGAGCCATTAAACATCATTTATTAATAGAAGGATTGGTAGAACGACAATATGAAAATATGAGAAATCTTCCTAAAGTAACATCATGTGTTACTATTGATCAAGAATTAGCTACAATTATTTGTAACTTTATTATTAATTATGCAAATATTTATGGATTTCCCTCACCAGGTCGTCATATGCAAACAGATTCTTTAGCAATTATTTTATTGCCAACTGAAAAAAATTATACTAGGGTTTATGACAACTAATAGAGAATTAAAATAGTAATGTATCAGTTATATTATACAAGAGTTTCGTTCGACTTTGGAAGAATCTTACACCACATGTTAAATTTATGATATCTGCTACAGATTTATGTGATATGTGTGAAATATTAAAAAAAAAATTCAATATGCAAAAAACCTTGATGAAAAGGGTAAAATAGGATTGGATTTAAAGAATCATAAAAATGAAGCAGAAAAGGAATGATAATATTATAAAAATATTATTACAATTAGTAATACACATGAAGAAATTGCTCATATCTGCTATGACTGAGTGCAAAATGTTTTCATTTCTTTTCACCATAGCAAGTTAGTCAAATTTATTTTAAAACCGCTTTTGCAGCACATATTTTTGGTGTATGTAATACAAAACAACAACCTTTTGCATAACAGTTAAATTATATTATTGGTGAAGATGAATTTCCAAATGGAACTGCAGAAAAAGGTGCCAACACAACCATTAATCTTGTATTTAATGCATTAAGCAAATTTTACCAAGGAGAACAACATTTAAAAGTCACCTGTGATAATTGTACAGGTCAAAACAAGAACAATCTTTCTTTATTTTTTTGGTCTTGGTTAACAATGGTGGGAATATAAAATACTATTGAAGTTAATTTTATGGTTTCAGGAACACAAAGTTTTTATTAAATAGGTATTTTGGTAATATCAAAACTCTTTTTCGAAAAACAAGGGTTAACACAATAGATGATGTTGAACAAGTAGTAAATAAATCTACTAAAAATGGTATCAATTGTGCTATTCGTTATGATGGAGGAAATAGGTGGCTTTATTATGATTTTGAATTATTTTTAAAACCTAATTTTAAAGATTTACCTGGTATTCAAAAGTATCAGCATTTTTGGTTTAAAAGAAGTGAATTAGGAAAGTTTTTATTTAAAAGGAAGTAGCAGGAGAGTTTAGTACTTTCGATATTTTAAAAAACAAGAATTTTAATCCTATAGCATCAATCACTATATTACCATCCAAACCTTTATCATTAACGCGTCAAGAATATTTATATAAAAATATTCAAAAGTTTGTTGATGATCCGTTTCAAGATATTTTATGTTCTAATCCATAAATAAATTAATATATTTATATTGAATTTTATTTGCGTCTCCTTAATTAAGAATGCATATTGTACTAATTTTAGATTGTCGATCTTTTTTTTGAAAGAAATTTTTTGTATAAATATTTTGATAATTTATTATACTTGTATGTTTAAAAAATTAGATTATTATATAGTAAGCATATCGGGCTTATATTAAAACAAACATAAATTTTTTTGACAGAAGGTTTCAGAGTGGCATTTTGCTAGTCCATGATCCATTTATGAAAAATTATATATTTTAAATAAATGACCAAATATTTTTAATAAAAAATTTTGTTGAGAAATGAAAAAGATAAAGTTTATTTTTTTTTGTTTATTTTATTTTATTTTATTTTATTTTTATTTTTAAAGTATGGTAGTTTTGCAAAAAAATAATTAGAAAAAAATTACATATATTAAAAATTTACGAAAATCTCTATCTAAATAATCATGAAACTATCTAAATCAAGACTGACCCTGCATTTTTCTAGAATCTAACACAACCGAAATCATGTTATTATATTTTAACAATTAGAAACGGAAAAGGGCTTGACCCCTATAGCACTAAAAATTTGACCAATGAGATCCTAACCAGAACATATTATTAATTAACTCCCTATAATCGAGCAAATGCCCTATAAAAATAGATCATCTGTAAATTATATTTATTTCGTCAGAAAATATACAAAAACGTCATTACTTATACATAAAATATATAAAATTTCGGAAATACAATAACGTATATAAAAAACATACAGTATCTGATCATTTCATTTTTGAGATATGTATAAAAAATGAACAATAAATATATTTGTACAAATCTTATACAATTAGAAAATATACATTATACAATAATTGACGTTTAAAGCTAAAATCATACAACAATTGACATTTAAAGCTAAATCATACAATAATTGTTAAATTTTGATGTTATAACAATTTACTCTTCCTCTTTGTCTATTATATAGTATATTCTATAGATTTTAAAAAATCCAATATAACGATCAATGGTGCATGTATCAATAAATTCGTGTGACTCATATTCTAAAAAATGATAATAGTCCTTCATTATCTTCATTGACTTTATCTGCCTAATGAATGTACGCTAACATATGTGTTTCTTTTTCAAATTCATAAACTAAGTAATATTCAACATTTCCAAAAAATACTTTCAGTATAAATTCTGGTTCTTTTTGGAAAATTAATCTATACATTACCGCCTAGAAATTTTATTTGTAAATAATTTAATAAATAAAAATATGTTCATTAACAGAGCTATTTACCATAATTGAATAATTAATTCAGGCCTAGTTTTGATTTCTTCTAATCCATTTAGATCCAATATACTGCCCATTTTTTATCTGTAACTGTTCTTATCTTATTCTTGATAAAGAAAAGAATTAATAAATAGTATTAGTTATATTATTTAAATATGTTAAAATTCTAAAAAATTAATAACATACCTTAAGTGTTCTACCCCTAACGTCATAAGAAGCAGAAAATTTTTCTTTATCTTTTTCAATTCGGACTGGCTGAGTGTATGCTTCTTGGATGAAAAATAAAAGTCTTCATCACTATTGGAATATGCAAGATATTTTGCATGTTATTTTTGTAGCTGAGACAGAAAAATGTTAGTGTAAATGGATTGATAATATCATAAGTAATTAATTAATTCACAATTATGAATATTATTAATTATATTTTTGTATGAATGAAGTTGTGATTGTACTAATGGAATAAGCATTCCACAAAGACGTTCCATTTGGAATTGCCATGTAGACCAACATGGTCCTGTATTTTTAATACTATCAGCTATATGTAAAATATAATGAAAGCACAATTCATTATGCTTAAGCAGTTTTCTAAACTACGGTAATATTCTCTAATAAATAAGAATTAAATATTAGATAGATAAAAATTTCAATTTAAATTAATTAATTAATACTTACTTTTCATAATAATTATAAAAGGATTGAAATAAAAATTGAATTTTACTCAATTCTTGAGAAGTTAATGTCAATTTCTGACATAGGCGAACAGCTTTAACAAAATAAACCCATCCTTTATAGTGTCTATCTAGTATTTGCCCTTTTAGTAAAGGTAAAAAATACATAGTTATCCAGGCTGCCCACTCCTCAGCCTTATATCCATTATGGTGGATAACTATGTTACAGGGTGGACTTCTTAAATAAGTTGGAAGTGACTTTCTAATACTATGCATCTCATTTCCTATTTCATTCAATTGAGCTTGACTAAGCACATATTTACCATTGTCCTGATTGCTATCTTTTTTGAAAAATTTTCCAACCTAGTGTTGAAACATATAACCTGCAATATTTTCGTATATTAAGTGCATCATATTGATAGGAAATGATGTTGGAAAACAAGTTGCTTGTAAGTCAAATAATATGCTATGCTCCTTAATTCCTATTATTATGAATAGCAAAAAAAATAATGTTTAATTATGTGCAATAAAGGTAATAAATTAATTAAATTAAACGGATTATACCAAATTCTGATTCTAAATCATGTCAATCTTTACTTGAATTTGCTTTATCCAACTGACGAATTTGTTTTTAAATTGACTATGACTTTACATGGGTAAATTTTTAGGATCATATTGTTTATATTCATTTCTCTTTTCTCTAGGTGGCATAGTTGGAAGGTATACATGATTTTTGTAAATGTCACGGATATTAGAATACCTACATCCTTTGTATAAATTGTGTCCTGTAAGATTTATAAGTTTTGTTAATCTAGGAGTATCACCTGACTATGATAAAACATGTGCACACAATAGAAAATTCTTCTGTTTTAGTCTATCATAATAATCAATTCTATTTGCAAATAATATATATTAGTTAAATTTTTTTATTGTTAATGATAATATAATTATATTAAAAATTACCTTCTAAATCT